AAAACTAGGAACCTTGAAAAAAGATTGGACAAAATGCTAAAGAGAATGGACAGCATAGAGAGGAATATAAGTGAATTGATGGAGCCGAAAAACACAACACGAGAACTCCGTGAAGCATGCACCAGCTTCAACAGCCGAATTGACCAAGCAGAAGAAAGGATATCAGAGGTCGAAGATCAACTCAATGAAATAAAAAGAGAAGGCAAGAACAGAGAAAAAAGCGCAAAAAGGAATGAACAAAATCTTCAAGAAATGTGGGACTATGTGAAAAGACCTAATCTACTTCTGATAGGTGTACCTGAATGTGATGAAGAGAATGAATCCAAGCTGGAAAATACTCTTCAGGATATTATCCAGGAAAACTTCCCCAACCTAGCAAGGCAGGCCAACATTCAAATCCAGGAAATACAGAGAACACCACAAAGATTTTCCTCAAGAAGAGCAACCCCAAGGCACATAATCGTCAGATTCACCAGGGTTGAAATGAAAGAGAAAATGCTAAGGGCAGCCAGAGAGAAAGGTCGGGTTACCCACAAAGGGAAGCCCATTAGACTCACAGCAGATCTCTCAGCAGAAACCCTACAAGCCAGAAGAGATTGGGGGCCAATATTCAACACCCTTAAAGAAAAGAACTTTCAACCCAGAATCTCCTATCCAGCCAAACTAAGCTTCATAAATGAAGGAAAAATAAAATCCTTTGCGAACAAGCAAGTACTCAGAGATTTCATCACCACCAAACCTGCTCTACAAGAACTCCTGAAAAAAGGAACAACCAGTACCAGCCACTCCAAAAACACACCAAATGGTAAAAGAGCATCAACACAATCAAGAAGCTGCATCAACTAACCAACAAAACAGCCAGGTAGCATCAAAATGACAGTATCAAATTCACACGTAACAATACTATCCCTAAATGTAAATGGACTAAATGCCCCAATCAGAAGACACAGACTGGCAAATTGGATAAAAAGCCAAAACCCATCAGTGTGCTGTATCCAGGAAACCAATCTTACATGCAAGGATACACAAAGGCTCAAAACAAAGGGATGGAGGAAGATCTACCAAGCAAATGGAGAGCAAAAAAAAAAAAAAAGCAGGAGTTGCAATTCTCATCTCTCATAAAATAGACTTTAAAGCAACAAAGATCAAAAGAGACAAAGAAGGACATTACATAATGGTAAAAGGATCACTGCAACAAGAAGAGCTAACAATCCTAAATATATACGCACCCAATACAGGAGCACCCAGATACATAAGGCAAGTTCTTAATGACTTACAAAGAGACTTAGACTCCCACACAATAATAGTGGGAGACTTTAACACCCCATTGTCAATATTAGACAGATCAACCAGACAGAAAATCAACAAGGATATCCAGGACCTGAACTCAGACCTGGAACAAGCAAACCTAATAGATATTTACAGAACTCTCCACCCCAAATCCACAGAATATACATTCTTTTCAGCACCACATCACACCTACTCTAAAATTGACCACATAATTGGCAATAAATCACTCCTCAGCAAATGCAAAAGAACGAAAATCATAACAAACAGTCTCTCAGACCACAGTGCAATCGATTTAGAACTCAGAATGCAGAAACTAACTCAGAACCACACAGCTTCATGGAATCTGAACAACTTGCTCTTGAATGTTGACTGGATAAACAATGAAATGAAGGCAGAAATAAAGATGTTCTTCGAAACCAATGAGAACAAAGACACAACATACCACAATCTCTGGGACACATTTAAAGCAGTCTCTAGAGGAAAATATATAGCAATGAGTGCCCACATGAGAAGAAAGGAGAGATCTAAAATTGACACCCTATCATCAAAATTGAAAGAGCTAGAGGAGCAAGATCAAAAAAACTCAAAACCTAGCAGAAGACAGGAAATAACTAAGATCAGAGCAGAACTGAAGGAAATAGAGACACAAAAAACTCTTCAAAAAATCAATAAATCCAGGAGCTGGTTTTTCGAAAAGATCAACAAAATAGACTGCTAGCCAGATTAATAAAAAAGAAAAGAGAGAATAACCAAATTGATGCAATAAAAAACGATAAAGGGGATATCACCACAGATTCCACAGAAATCCAAACCATCATCAGAGATTATTAAAAACAACTCTATGCACATAAACTAGTAAACCTGGAAGAAATGGATAAATTCTTGGACACCTGCATCCTCCCAAGCCTAAACCAGGAAGAAGGTGAAACCCTGAATAGACCAGTAACAAGGTCTGAAGTCAAGGCAGCAATAAAGAGCCTACCACCCAAAAAAGCCCAGGTCCAGATGGGTTCACAGCCGAATTCTACCAGACATACAAAGAGGAGCTGATACCAGTCCTTCTGAAACTATTCCAGACAATCCAAAAAGAGGGAATCCTTCCCAAATCATTTTATGAGACAAACATCATCCTGATACCAAAACCCGGCAGAGACTCAACAAGAAAAGAAAATTTCAGGCCAATATCCATGGTGAACACAGATGCAAAAATCTTCAGTAAAATACTGGCAAACCGATTGCAGCAGCATATCAAAAAGCTCATCCACCATGATCAAGTAGGATTCATCCCGGGGATGCAAGGCTGGTTCAACATATGCAAGTCCATAAACGTAATTCACCACATAAACAGAACCAAAGACAAAAACCACATGATTATCTCAATTGATGCAGAGAAGGCTTTTGACAAAATTCTACAGCCCTTTATGCTAAAAACCCTCAATAAACTAGGTATTGATGGAACGTATCTCAAAACAATAAAAGCTATTTATGACAAACCCACAGCCAATATCATACTGAATGGGCAAAAACTGGAAGCATTCCCTTTGAAATCTGGCACTAGACAAGGATGCCCTCTCTCACCACTCCTATTCAATATAGTACTGGAAGTTCTAGCCAGAGCAATCAGGCAAGAAAAAGAAATAAAGGGTATTCAAATTGGAAAGGAGGAAATCAAATTGTCTCTATTTGCAGATGACATGGTTGTATATTTAGAAGACCCCATCATCTCAGCCCAAAATCTCCTGAAACTGATAAACAACTTCAGCAAAGTCTCAGGATACAAAATCAATGTGCAAAAATCACAAGCATTCCTATACACCAGTAACAGATTTAAAGAGAACCAAATCAAGAATGAACTGCCATTCACAATTGCTACAAAGAGAATAAAATACCTAGGAATACAACTAACAAGGAACGTAAAGGACCTCTTCAAGGAGAACTACAAGCCATTGCTCAATGAAATAAGAGAGGACACAAACAGATGGAGAAACATTCCATGTTCATGGTTAGGAAGAATCAACCTCGTGAAAATGGCCATACTGCCCAAAGTAATTTACAAATTCAATGCTATTCCCATCAAGCTACCAATGACCTTCTTCACAGAACTGGAAAAAACTACCTTAAACTTCATATGGAACCAAAAGAGAGACCGCATAGCCAAGTCAATTCTAAGCAAAAAGAACAAAGTGGGAGGCATCACACTACTGGACTTCAAACTATACTACAAGGCTACAGTAATCAAAACAGCATGGTACTGGTACCAAAACAGAGATATAGACCAATGGAACAGAACAGAGGCCTCACAGGAAATACAACATACCCACAACCATCTGATCTTTGACAAACCTGACAAAAACAAGCAATGGGGAAAGGATTCCCTATTTAATAAATGGTGTTGGGAAAACTGGCTAGCCATGTGCAGAAAGCAGAAACTGGACCCCTTCCTGACACCTTACACCAAAATTAACTGCAGATGGATTAACGACTTAAACATCAGACCTAACACCATAAAAACCCTAGAAGAAAATCTAGGCAAAACCATTCAGGACATAGGCGTAGGCAAGGACTTCATGACCAAAACGCCAAAAGCAATGGCAACAAAAGCCAAAATAGACAAATGGGACCTAATCAAACTCCACAGCTTCTGCACGGCAACAGAAACAGTCAGTAGAGTGAATCGGCAACCAACAGAATGGGAAAAAATTTTTGCAGTCTACCCATCTGACAAGGGGCTGATATCCAGAACTCACAAAGAACTAAAACAGATCTACATGAAAAAAACAAACAAGCCCATTCAAAAATGGGTGAAGGATATGAACAGATACTTTACAAAAGAAGACATACAGGTGGCCAACAAACATATGAAAAGATGCTCATCATCACTGGTCATTAGAGAAATGCAAATCAAAACCACATTGAGATACCATCTCACACCTGTTAGAATGGTGATCATTAAAAAATCTGGAAACAACAGATGCTGGAGCGGATGTGGAGAAATAGGAACACTTTTACACTGTTGGTGGGAATGTAAATTATTTCGATCACTGTGAAAGACAGTGTGGTGATTCCTCAAGGACCTAAAAATAGAAATCCCATTTGACCCAGCAATCCCATTACTGGGTATATATCCAAAGGATTATAAAGCATTCTACTATAAGGACACGTGCACACGAATGTTCATTGCAGCACTGTTTACAATAGCAAAGACCTGGAACCAACCCAAATGCCCAACGATGATAGACTGGATAGGGAAAATGTGGTACATATACACCATGGAATATTACGCAGCCATCAAAAACGATGAGTTCACGTCCTTTGTAGGGACATGGATGAGCCTGGAAACCATCATTCTCAGCAAACTGACACAAGAGCAGAAAATCAAACACCGCATGTTCTCACTCATAGGCGGGTGCTGAACAATGAGAACACATGGACACAGGGAGGGGAGCACTACACACTGGGGTCCATTGGGGGGAAATGGGGGAGGGATGGGAGGGTGGGGTGGTGGGAAGAGATAGCATAGGGAGAAATGACAGATACAGGCGAGGGGATGGAAGGCAGCAAACCACACTGCCATGTGTGTACCTATGCAACAATCTTGCATGTTCTTCACATGTACCCCCAAACCTAAAATGAAATAAAAAAAACAAAAACAGAATTTTTTTTTTTTTTTTAAAAAGAGTGATTGTGTCCAACTGACCCTCAGAAAAAAATCAACGTAGCGCAAAGCACCTTCCAATCTTATCTTTTACCTGATCAGCTTCCGAATCTGAGGGGACCACCAGCACCACGTCACCCCTTTGTAAGGTAAGTTCATCAGAATTTGCTGCCTCAAAATCATGCAGTGTTTCTACCTGCAAAAGGTAAAAATGATACATAAAAATGAGTTTTCCAGTCAGATTATAAGCAGACACTCTTACAAGCTCTCTCCAAGCTGGGTGAAAAGATGAAGATATGTACCATATCCCAAAAAAGAAGGTCTCTAAAGCCAGAAGGGAAGTCCTATTCTCTGATATGAGGGCCATTCACATGTATATTTATTAATAGTAATACAAGGCCCTCTACAACAGGGGAAAGTTCTATATAAAGCAAATTTTAATTAATCTTATTTTTGTTGGAGATTTGCATTTTATTGTCACTGATGCTTTATTACCGTGTGTTTAACTGAAACCAAAAATGTCTAAAACTCCTCTAACCCCAGCATTTGTCAAATAATAATCAGGAAAATCACCACTTGCAGGTTAGACAGCAATTACTACTTAATAAAACTCTGTGATCAATTTCTGTGTAAATATATTTCCTTCCTTCCCCATCCAACCCTATATACAATGACAACCAGTTTCTTTTGCTTTCCCATTTTGCAAAAGATTTCCTTAAAATTTTATTATAGAATTTTTTTTTTAAGCAGAAGGAATGATATAATGAATGCCCACGCATCCGTCACCCAGTCTGAATAACTCTACCGTCATGGGCGACTTTATTTTTCACAAACCCTTCCCCTCAACTCCACCCCTGAGAGTAAACATCGCCTTTAAATTGTGTATTTTCCCATTGAGCATATTCATAGAACCGTAAACTGTCAGAGCTGGAAATGGATTACATTATCCCTAAATTAATTCCTCTGATGGGAAAACATACCCCGAGAGAGGGTCTATGTGGGGTGCCTTAGGTTATACCACAGTTAGTGCAGAAGCCAGGATGGGTCCAGCAAGCCCTGGCAGTGCTTGGCACAAGGGTTCTTGGACTGTTTGTGCTCCAATTAACACAGAACATGGCAGGAAACAACCCCCTATCTACAGATTTAACTTTTGCTTCAAATTAATTCATTCATAAATCCATTATAGCCACCCCTATCCCCACAAAAGGTAGCAAGGTAGTATTTACTAATGCAGAGAGAGAGAGAGAGAGAGAGAGAGAGAGAGAAAATCATGTGACATTTTACACTCTAGAAGAAAAAGAGCTGAAGTTTGAAATGTAAAATCAAATTAAAAAAATTTAAAATTCTGGCTGGGCGTGGTAGCTCACGCCTGTAATCACAGTACTTTGGGAAGCTGAGGTGGGCAGACCATGAGGTCAGGAGTTCAAGACCAGCCTGGCTAACATAGTGAAACCCTGTCTCTACTGAAAATACACAAAATTAGCCAGGCATGGTGGTGGGTGCCTGTAATCCCAGCTACTCGTGAGGCTGAGGCAGGAGAATCACGTGAACCCAGGACGTGAAGATTGCAGTGAGTGCATATCGCGCCACTGCACTCCGGCCTGGGTGACAGTGTGAGACTCTATGGCACAAACCAACCAACCAACCTTAAAATTCCTTATCAGATTCTGTTAGGAAACACCTGGATGAAGCCAGTGTTTTTAGGTATTTTTCGTTAAGAATCCTTTGGTTTATGAAGGCTGTATGTAGCCTGTCTAAGCAAAACCTTCTCATTGACTTAGCAACCTTTTTTTTTTTTTTTCTGCCTTTTGGTGGAAGTTCATGTATAAATCCATTAATTTACAAAATATTTATGGGCTCCCAAATCTGTTACGCAGCCACAAGTGCCACAGTTGACAGACCGGCTGCTGCCCTACCCCACGGGAGTACAGTGCAGTTAGGAGCACTTGGTGATTCCAAGGCCTGGTCTGAGCCATGGTGGACATATTCACAGGCACGCCAGGAAGGAGAGAGGAGGGAGGGCTGAAAGGGACTCTGCCATTCATTACCCAGGGCATACTGTTTGCTCTGTGGTGAACTTCCTTTTAATTATTCTTTGTTAAAGTGTGAAAACGTATTACTGTAGTCCTGGCTTGTCCGAGTGATGTTGTGGTGAAGGGAAAGCAGTTGAGAGAAATAATAATTGCAAAAAGGAAAAACTGGAAAACCAAAGGATTGAGCAAAAGGGATTCAAAGCAAAGACAAATGAATTAAAAAGTAATACGACCTTGTAGAGAAAGCCAGGAGGCAATTCCTGAGAGGCCTCTTTTGCAGATGCTAACTGGTCAGCAGCCCCCATGGCTGGTGCAGAAGGCGTGGGCTGAGGGTCCTGGAGAGGCTTCTGCTCTGTAGCCAGCTCCGGCGTCTCGCTGGTGGGGCCCAGAGGAGCCGCGTCCTCGGTGGTCTCTTTGGGCTCTGCACCTATGGTGATTTCATGTTCTCCTTCCTCTTCATGGTTGGAGGCAGGCTCTATGACCACCGAAGGGATGACCTTCTCCTGGAGGAAGAAAAATTGTGGCGGTGCCCAGCAGGACCTGGGAAACAGGACCTCCTTGTCCTGCATAACCTACATGGCCACGTCCATACTTCCCCATCAGCCAGACCCAGGCCAGGCCTCTGCTGTGCCACACAGCCTCCTCCTGTTCCTCCTGAGGCCTAAACCCTTAGTGGAATTAATTTCTGGATCCTTGAAGAGCCAAGCAGTTTGGTAAACATGAGGTTTCCGTGGGAATGGGGAAGAGGGATAGGGGGTGGGAGACCATGCCGAGAGGGACTGCAGGAGGAGCCAATGCAGGCTGGCCTGGTTCTTGTCCCACGACGCCCTAACTCTTGCCGCTGACAGTTCACTTCCTGGGAGCCCCTCCCCACCATCCCCCAGTCGCCTGAACCATGCTTGCTGGTGAAGATCCAGCCAGGGTTTGGAGATCATTCACCAGTCCTTCACTTGTGATTATCATTCCAGCCCCCACTGCCCCGGCTGCTGGAGGGACCACAGCTCCCACATCCACTCCAAGTACTCTAGTGTCTGAACCAAAAGGTTAGCATCACCCTTCCACTTGTTTAACAAAGATAAGCACAGAAGGGAGTTTATCAGCAGAACAGGTGTCTTTCTATATTCCTTCTGCTATCAGCAGACTAGAGCACCAACATTCATCAACTTGGAGAGATAATACAATCTTTCCATGAGTGCAACAATATACACAAAAACACTCTGGGTGCTGTGATGAGAAAATCTAAGGGGAAAAAGGAATAGTCTTTTAAGTTCCTTCTCCCATAAAACTGTTATCTGACATGTTTCTAGTGGAATGAAAGGGATAATTCAGTTTTAAGTTTTAAGTAACCCTAGAGAGATTTTTGAAAATTGATTGGGAGTCAAGTCATCAGGAAAGGCTGGGCGCATTGGCTCACGCCTGTAATCTCAACACTTTGGGAGACAAAGGCGGGCAGATCACCTGAGGTCAGGAGTTCAAGACCAGCCTGACCAACATGGCAAAACCCTGACTCTATCAAAAATACAAAAATTAGCCTGAGGCAGGAGAATTACCTAAACCCAGGAGGCTGAGGTTGCAGTGAGCCAAGATCGAGCCACTGCACTCCAGCCGAGGTGACAGAGCAGGACTCCATCTCCAAAAAAACAAAAAAAATATCATCAGGAGAAAAGAATTCATACCATTAACCCCCTCTTAACATTGCCTTCTAGAATACAGAAGAACCAGACAGCGGAGGCAGGCCCTGGGGTTGGAGGCCCTCACAGTGGTAGAGGACATGTGGCTTTGTGGCCTCTCAATGCTGCTCTGAGCCGTTGCTGAGCTGGGCCTGCTCCAGCCTCATGCACGGCCCAAGGTCTCTTTATTTCTCTTCTCAAAGTGCAACACGGCAGTGGGCTCTGGGTGAAAGGGGCCCGATGGTGACTTTGAAGCACTTGAATTTTAATAATAACCACCAAACAGCAATAAGAATCATCAGACCTAAACACTATAGAGTTCTCCCTGGGCTAAGTGCCCGCTTCATCACATTCTCTGTCTCCCAGCTCAACTCTTGGCCTTTTCTCTGTCCTGCTCCATTCCTTTCTCCATGCCACCCCAGCATTTCCCCTTCCCTCTTCCATGCTTAGGCCCGGCCAGCCACAGGCCCTGACGGCCTGTGTGCAACACTGCAGTGCTGATACTGAGAAGCTGGGACCAGTGATTCTGAGAATCTGATAACAATGTTGTCTGGTAGAGTCACAAAATTGCTAAAAACCTATTGTATATCCAAAGAGTTATCACCATGAACAGACACAGCACCCAGCCCATGCTGCCTCCCAGAAGCTCCCCTGGCTGGGATACTCACCTGAGGCACTGCTGCTTCCAGCTCCTCTGATTCAGGTTGGGCACTCTCTGCACTCTCAGTGGTTTCAGTTCCAGTTTTGGTCTCCTCTAAGCTTACTCCTTCCCCGGTAGGGAGAGTGGCCTTCTCTGCCTCTGCTTCCTCTCCTGGGGCCCCCTCAGCCGCGTCAGCATCAGCTCCAGGTATAATCTGCAGGGCAGAAACCAACAGCCACGTCTGCATCTCCGTGGGCCTCACCAAGGAGACAAACTCAAGCCTATTCCTAATCTCCCCTCTGCAGAGGCTATTCAGATTTGCAACTTTCTTTGCACTCCCAGGATTCAGGTATAGCAGAGTTTGCCATCTATTCGTCAACATTTGGACTTCTCTTCTGCTGAGCTCCCAACAATTCCACACTCCTCAGCTTTCCTTGCTGTCAGGTGCAGCAAATGGGATTTGAATGAAAGTGATATACACCATTCCAAAAACACGGCTTTTAAGGTGTGGGTGGTCTTCTCCACAAGCGATTTCCAACCAATGAGGCCTTAGGGGTGTGAAAGAAAGAAAACTGAACTTCAGGACCTTAAACTTACCGTGTGAGAGGAAAGTTAAGCTTGGGAATGGAGTCACACAAAACCACCTTCCTTTCGTTCCCAAACACAGAGCTGTAATTTCACATGCTTCCTTTATCTCATGTAACATGCAGAACTACAGAGTGTGAGATGAGGGCATGACTGACTTTGTCCCCACTCCCTCTTTTCACATGTGAAATGTAGATTCCCTGTGCGCTAATCAGAGCTGACAAGAATGTGACACTCACCTCATTGCCCACCCACCCTCCATTTAAAAAATTTATTCCCGGGGCCAGGCGCAGTGGCTCACGCCTGTAATCCCAGCACTTTGGGAGGCCGAGGCGGATGGATCAGGAGGTCAAGAGATCGAGACCATCCTGGTCAACATGGTGAAACCCTGTCTCTAAAAATACAAAAAATTAGCTGGGCATGGTGGTGCGTGTCTGTAGCCCCAGCTACTCAGGAGGCCGAGGCAGGAGAATTGCCTGAACCCAGGAGGCGGAGGTTGCGGTGAGCCGAGATCGTGCCATTGCACTCCAGCCAGGGTAATGAGAGCAAAACTCCATCTTAAAAAAAAAAAAATTCCCTTCTTCCTTCCTATTTCCTCTTTAAATACTTAAGTTCTCAAAACTCTCTTATAAAAAGCATAGGTCACAGACCCTCCTTTGGCTCATGTTCCTTTTTCCCAGGTGCATCCGTAACCTTGGCTAAATAAGCCTCTCCATGATCGAGACCTGCCTTGGTCACTTTTTGGTTTGCATGGCACATCTGGGTCACAAGATGGAAGGGGCCTGGGTCAGAGAAAAAAAGCCACATCAGGAAAGCATCCTCATCACACAAAGAATTTAGAAAAATTTGCATTTTAGTATAAACTTTCAAATCTTTGTGAGGAAGGTTCACAAAGTGATTTGGATGCCAAATCACTTTCACAGGAAAAAAAATTAAGGAAGTTTTCTCAATAAAAACTCTCAAGAATGAAGGGGAAACAATTTTTGTAATCAAATATGCATAGTAACGCTCCAAATATCTGCACAGCCTGTTTACAGGCAAAATGCTGAAATCATAGTTTAGGTCCAAGTAAGGAGAAATGAAATAGAAAAAAATCAGAATTTTCTAAGGTAGAAACACAGTCAAAAGAAGAGTTTTAAGTACTATTTAAAACTTGCAATAATGAAATAAAGGAAATGCAATCAGACGTTTTAGTTTTGAACAAATCGGAGTCCAACTCTAACAAGATTCTGACGTCAGCTTGGCAGACTTGATTTGAGAGGTTCAAATGAGAGAGGCTATGGAAAAAGAATCTCAGGTTGATCTTATATGTTCAGGACACATATTTCAAAAATGGTTCTTACTATCTGATGTGATTAGGATTAGCTATTTTTTCCTTGTTGAATACATTCTACTCAGTTCAACCTCTTAAGTTAGGAAAGCCCTAATACTGCAAACATTAAGTATTAAACTCAGAAAACAGAAAAGGACAATGAAGAGTACCTCCGACTGGGCATCAGAAATTGGAGATGAAGAACACGAACCTCACACCTACACTTATAACAAAGTAGTTTTAAAAATGTTTCTTCTGGCTCAAAGATACAGGTAACCGTTTAAATAAAAATACCTGTTACAGAATACATACAGTACATTATTCTACATGATAATATTTTTATTTGGGACTGAAAAAGAAATGTTAACAGCTATACTACTCATTATATGCCCAAGTATTACTGACATCCTTAGAAATTTACTTCCCTCTCATGAGAATCTCCTATTACAAGGATATGGCTCTCCACACAGGGTGTGCAATGATTTAAAATGCAATCTCTAGCCATGATATATTTCTTTCTTCCTGCCCTGCCATGAAAGTACATGTGATATGGCTTGGCTCTGTGTCTCCACCCAAATCTCATCTTATAGCTCCCATAATTTCTTTGTGTTATGGGAGGGACCCAGTGGGAGATGATTGAATCATGGGGGCAGGTTTTTCCTGTGCTGTTCTCATGATGGTGAAATCAAATCTCTCACCAAATTTGGTGGTTTTAAAAATGGAAGTTTCCCTGCACAAGCTCTCTTTTTGCCTCCTGCAATCCATGTAAGAGGTGACATGCTCCTCCTTGCCTTCCACCGTAATCGTGAGTTCTCCCCAGCCATATGGAACTGTAAGTCCAATGAACCTCTTTCTTTTGCACATTGCCCAGTCTCAGGTATATCTTTATCAGCATCATGAAAACAAACTGATACAATATGAGTTCATAAAAGTAATCCTTTTTCATGAATTTTAACAAATACTTATTTAAAGTGAGTTATAGATGTTGTTCATTACTGAAACGGAATAACACATGCACAAGGATTTATGTTTTGGCAGACGGCTGAAAATTCCTATAATAAAAAGTTCATTTTAAAATCAAATAAAATTTCATTTCTTCTTTTAAATAAGCACTGACCTTTTTATGGATGCTACTGTTACTGTTGTCAAGAGAGTAGTAACCAGAACATAAATTGTCAGTGCATCTTAATCCCAAGAAGAATGAGGAGCAATTGCTCACAGCTTTATTGCTGGAGACCTTAACAGAATTTTCTCTAGGATACTAAGGACCTAGTAAAGTTTATTCAGTGTTAAAAATGTCTACTGAAAGACAATGTGCATAAAATAAATTTATGAGCTAAAATGTAGAAAAGAGGTTGTGTCGTCATTCTAAGCTTGTTCTTTCCATCTGTCTGGAAAATCATACTACAAATACCCCACTAATTTCAACAGCTTGGAAGCAGATGGACTCTATCTACATGCAGACAGTATGGACAAACAGAGCAGCAGATACCACCACTACACACACATGCAACAGAGGCACTGCTACAGATGAAAAAGCAGACATAGCAGACAGGATGTTATTTCATGAGCTACTCTCCCAAGTGATTATGCATAAATCCTTTTATACAAATATGTTCCAAGTACATATTATTACTAATTGGCTTTCAATCTCAATTGAATTGATACTGTATCTCTGGAAGAGGATATATTTCCATGACCTATAGATGGTGTTGCCACAGGTAATTTTTTTAACTTGTTCCATACAAATGTTTACTATTAACCTGTAATTTATCTCTAGATATCTATCAATTTGGTTATATAAGATTTTATCATCACTAAATATAGATGTTATCACCTTTTCTTTGCCAGATAATTTAAGCAGGCAATGAAACTAGACTCCTATCTTTTGCCATATACAAAAATTAAATAAAAATGGATTAAAGACTTAAAGCTAAGGCTTCAAACTACCAAACTACCAAAAGGAAACATTGGGAAAACTCTCTAGGACACTGGAATGGGCAAAGATTTCTTGAGTAATACACCAAAAGCACAGGCATGCAAAGCAAAATATTGACAAATGTCAAGTTCAAAAGCGTCTGCACTGCCAAGGGAGCAGTCAACAAAGGCAACCTGCAGAATGGGAGAAAATATTTGCAAACTACCCATCTGACTAGGGACTAATCACCAACATACATAAGGAGCTCAAAACTCTACAGGAAAAAAAATCTAATAACCCAATTTAAAAACGGGCAAAAGTTATGAATACACATTTCTCAAGACATAAATGGCAAACAAGTATATGAAAAGGTGCTCAACATCATTGATCATCAGAGAAATGCAAATCAAAACTACAGTGAGATCTCATCTCACCCCAGTTAAAATGGCTTTGATGCAAAAGACAGGAAATGCTGGCAAGGAAGTAGAGAGGAAAGAAGCCTTGTATACTGTTGGTGGAAATGTAAATTACTGCAACTATTAGGGTAAACAGTTTGGAGGTTTCTCAAACAAACAGACAAAAAAGTAGAGCTACCATATGATCCAGCAATCCCACTGCTAGGTATATACCCAAAAGAAAGAAAATCAACATATCAAAGAGGTATCTGCACTCCCACATTTATTGCAGCACCATTAACAATATCAAGGATTTGGAAGTGACCTAAGTGTCCATCAAGATGAATGGATACAGAAAATGTGTGCCTATACACAATGGAGTACTATTCAGCCACAGAGAAGAAGGAGCTCTTGTCATTTGCAACAACATGGATGGAACTGGAGATCATTATGTTAAAGGAAAAAAGTTAGGCACAGTAAGACAAACTTTGAGTGTTTTTACTTATTTGTAGTGTGCTAAAAGTTAAAACAATTGGATTCAGGGAAACAGTAGAAAGAAGGATGGTTACTAGAGGCTGGGAGGGTAGTGAGGCAGTATGGGAGAGGGAGGATGGATAATGGACACAAAACATAGTTAGAAGGAATAAATAAGACTTAGCATTTTATAACACAAACAGGGTGACTGTAGTCAACAATAACATTGTACATTTTAAAATAACTAAAAGAATATGATTGGATTGTAATGTGAAAAAAGGATAAATGCTTGAGGTGATAGACATTTACCCTGATGTAGTTATTACACATTGTATGTCTATATCAAAATATCACATGTAACTCATAAGTATATACACCTCCTATGTACCTGCAAAAGTTAAACATAAAATAAAATAATACAAAACAGGCATTATTAGCTGCTGTGACACTAATCACCAGCAGGTGGCGGCCAAGGGCTCTGCCTGACAGCACTGACGTTCCTTACCTTACCAGGAGCAAGTAAGTAACTC